AAGGGGTTTTCAAATAAAGTAAGGTAAGGGCCAGAAAATGTGTGTGTGTGTGCATGTGGTGTGTGTGTGTGTGTGTGTGTGTGTGTGTGTGTGGTGTTTGCTGTTTTAGGTATGACAATTAGGAAGTACTCTAATGAAACAACTTTGGGAAGATGACAAATGAAGGTAAGACACGGGTTATGTATTTCTGCACTCCAGGTAGAGGAAGCCTTTCAAGGATACAAGGCAGGTGAATGCTCAAGGAACAGGAATATTCTGGGGACAGGAGGGGAATTGGGTAATTAGAGGAGAAAGAGTGTGTCTTGGAGAGGATCATAAAGTGTCTTAGAGATCATGGAAAGGATTTGGGCTGTATTCTAGGGCAGAAAACATATGAACTGAGGAATGCTCATTATCTGATATCTATTTTAGAGGAATTTCCTTCTCTTTACTGTGGAAAATAGATTTCTGGGGAGAAATGGTAGAAGCAGTGAGACCACTTTGAGGCCATTGAAGTAGGTAGGTGAGAGACCATGGGCTCAAGTCAGACCAATGTGGAAGGTGAGAGGGCCAGATTCTGGAAGCCTGTGTGTGTATTTGCAGATAGATTTGGCAGGATTTGAAGACATGAATGTGAAAGAGAGGAATCAAAAATCATTCCCAGGTTCCTGCTTGGGCAAGTTAGAAGAGAGTTGCCATTTATTGACACAGGGTAAACTGGGCAAGGAGCCTGGTTTGATGTGAAACAGTGATTCTGGATCTTCATTCAACAGAAATGAATATTTATTGATTATCTGTTCTGTACTAGGCACTCTTCTAGATGCTGGAGATAAAGCAATGAACACATACACACACACACACACACACACACACACACACTGCCTTCATGAGACTTGGATTCTTCTGAATGGAGAGAGATCATATCAATAAATTAAAAAATTACCCAGGATATTATACTGTGGAGAAAAAAAAAGTTAGATAGGAAAGGACAAATAGGGGCTTATGCTCTTCCAATGAATATCCAGGGAGGATGTCCCTGGGTAGGTGATGTTTGAGCACAAATTTGAAGTTGATGAGAGAAGAGTGGGAGAAGATCATTAAAGGCAGGGAAACATTGAGTGTAAGTTCCCTGAGGAGTGAGTTGGCTGGTAAATAGGAAACAGTAATGGATCCAAAAGGGGCAGATCATATAGAACTTTCTCATTATAAGGACTTTGGCCTTTCTTCTGAATGAAATGGGGCTTTAAGCAGTGGAGTGAGATGATCAGACTGAATTTTAACATGCTCTCTCTGGCAGTTGTGTGGAGATCAAGGTAGAAGAGGGGGAACTAGTAAAGGGACTATTGCAACAATAGCCAGAGGTCACTTTGGTACCAATCGGGATGCTTTTGCTAGAGGTAGCTAGAAACCATCAGCTTCTGGTATTATTTTGGTGTTAGAGATGATAATATTTATTAAATGGATTGGATGTTAAGTACAAGAGAGGATGATTAGTTAGAGAAAACAATGACTTCTCCAAAATTTGTTCCATCAAGTGGAAGAACAGCCCTGGCATTGCCTGAAAAACAGTGAGAGAAGCAGATTTTCATGGGGAAGATAGAGAATTTGATGCCAAATATGTTAACATTACCTATAAGACTTAGAGATGTTGTTTATAGGCAGTGGCGTATAAAAGCCTGGAGTTCAGGGGGCAGTTCTGGGATGTACTTATAAATGTGTAAGTCACTGTTAATGCGTGGCATCTAAAGCTAAGACTGCAGGAGACTAGCAAGGGAATGAATGCAGATGGGAAAGTGGCAGGCAGGCCACAATTAAGTCATCAGGAATATGAGGAAGAACCAGTAAGGGAGACTGAGCAGTCTCCAGGAGGTCCCAGAAAATCCAAGAGATGGTGGCATCTTGGAAGGCAAGTTGATTATTTCAGTAATCATCCTTGTCAAGTGAAAGCTAGATGACGAAGACTGAGAATTAGCCTTGAATTTAGAATCATTCCTACCTTTTAAAAAAGGCAGATTTAGTGCTGTAGAAAAGGTGAAAGATGGACAGAAAATGGAAGAATTGAGAACAGAGAGTATAGATCATTCTTTCAAGGTGTTTCACTCCAAAGAGAGCAGAGAAATGGAGCAGTAATCTGAGGGGAAAGTCAAAGAGACCATTCTTAATATGAGAGAAATATCAGAAGTTTTTATTTGATTTGAAAAAGATCCACTTGAGGGAAGTAATTGCTGATGAAAGAGAGAAAGTGCTGAAGCAAAAATGGGGTGTGTGATAGGAAGAATAGTCCTTCAAAGACGTCCAAAACAATTCTGACCCCTGGGACCTGGTAACATGTTACATGGGTAAAGAGACTTTGCAGATATAATGGAAGTTATGAATCTTAAAGTGGGGAGATTTGTCCTGTATTATCTGGGTATGCTCAATCTAATTATATGAGCCCTTTAAAGGAGAGGATTCTTTTTTTCCTCAATGGAGGCAGAAGAGAGATGCAGTGGAAGAAATCAGAGAAATTCAAAGTTCAAGAAGGGATCCAACACACCAGCTCTGAGTGATAGAGACATGAATAAGGACCCCAGAGAGGTCTTCAGTAGCTCAGGGTGGCTCTCCAACTGACAACCAGCAAGAAAATGTGCACCTGAATCTTATGACTGAAACTGGATTCCACCAACACCCAAATGGGCTTGGAAGAGATTCTTCTTCAAAGCCTTCAGAAAGGAGAACAGCCCTACTAATACCTTGCTTTCAGCCCTGTAGACTACAAGCAGAGTACCTAGCCAAATCCTCCAAGAGAAATATGACCTGGTAAATTTTGTGATATTTCAGCGGTGACATAAAACTAGAATGGAGTTATTGGCTAAGGGAAGGAGCAGTTGTGGCTCATCCATAGAAAGAGAAGGGAAGGCAGAATAAAAGATGTAGGTGGTAGCAGGTGGCAATGGTGATGTGAGACTGCAAACATTCTCTGTGACTTCTAATTTCTCAGTGAAACAGGAATTTTGAATACTGGCTAAAAGGGAAGATAGGAGAGGTTGAAGGGGTTTGATGAGAGATGATGGCCAAGAGGACTAGGACCTATTTTCATTCAAGTATCATGAACTAAGGCAAAAATTCCATAGCATGCTACCTTTGCAATATCTATATGACATCACCTGGAAGTATTGCATAGGTAGTTTATATACAATTCTAGAGCCAATTTATGGATAGATAAAATGGCAATGAAAGCCATGAGAGGTCATGAGACTCACGGGATAAAATCTGAGATTCTATAATGTATATATACTTCATAGTTAAGGCAGATCCAGCAAGGGGGACCACAAAGGAGTAGCTGTGGAGGTAGATGAGATGAACAACCAAGGAAATGGTCTCTCAGACATCAGGTTCCAAGAGTCAGTGTAGGGATTAAATTGAAACTCTTCCCTACCTAAATTTATTTGTTAAAGTCCTTACTTTCGGTGTGACTGTATTTGGAAATAGGGCTTTTAAGAAGCTAAAGTTAAATGAGGTCATAATGTTGGGGCCCTAATCTGATAAGGATTATGCCCTTATAAGAAAGGAAAGAGACTCCAGAGATCACTGTCTCTGCTATGTGGGGACACAGACAGAATGCCACTCTGTCTGTAAGCCAGGGAAATAGTCCTCACCACACACAAACCATGGAGGTACCTTGATCTCAGACTTCCAGTTTCCATAACTATGAGAAAATAAACTTCTGTTGTTTACACCATCCAGTCTATGATATTTTATTATGGCAACTGAAGAAAACGAATACATTCAGTTATGTTAGTCAATGAATTCTCCTTTTTGCCTGAGGTCATTTAAGTTTAGTTTTCTGTTACTTATAATTGGAAAAGCTCTAACAACTCCAATATGTGTATCAATGTTCCTAGAGGTGACTATCAACTCCCTTCTCCCTGATACAAATACTTTGCCATTTGTAGCTTGAGGAAACTCTATGTCCCTATACATCATGACTATGTGCCTATCTAACTCCACCAAACACAGTGATATCAATTTAAAACTGCTAAGTTTAAAACACTAACTGGTCTACAGAGGCACCATTATTAAACACCAGCTTGAGGAGTAATTCTTTGGATCACAACATTTAAAATGACCACACTTTCTGCAATGTATTAGTTATAAAAATAATCTGAAAAAAATGACCTTATTTCAAATCTCTTCATTTCCTTTCTTAATCCCCTTCATAAATAGCCCATGACACATGACTCACAGAAATGATCACTCAGTAATTTTCTTTCCTTTACTATTCAACTGTCTATTTTCTCCATTAAAGAGAGAAAATACAATTATTTTGTATTAGAAAATACAATTCTTCTGCTGCCTCTTTAGGATAACAGATTTCTCAATGACCTTGAAGGTGTTAAATTCATTCAAGAAATAGTTACTGAATACTTTAATAGGCAATCTGGTAGTACATGCTGAGCATACTAATAGAGTCACAGAGACCAATAGGATGTGATCTCTACTTTTAAAAGACATTTGACAGTGAGTATAGACATTTTGATAATATAGTAAAAGTGAAGGTGCAAGGGGGTCTCTAAAAGAAGAAGTACAATGGAAATTCAGGGAAAGGGGAGATTACTTCCACCTGAGGGAAGTGGGGAAGATTGTAATATGTACAAGATTTTTCTTGTCTTTAACCAAAATGGTACGTGTTATAACAGTAAGGGACTGGCCAGTAGTTCAGAATGATAGGAGTAGAGCAAATGGGAAAGGAGTATATATTGTGTCTCCACATGGCAGATTAGTGAAAATGATAGTTGACTTTGGAATTTGAACTGTATTTATTAGGGAATAAGATATTGAAATTTTGCAAGTAGGAGGTTGAAATAGCATTACTATATTTCTATGAGGAAAACGGTCTAGTGATAAATAAAGACAAATGTGATTATAACACAAAGGAATTCCTAGTGTGAGAGGGGAAATCCAGGGTAATTTGGGAGTACAAAGGAGAGAAATAAAAATATCATATTTTGAGCTTCAGAAATATTTTTCCTTGCAGACAGTGACATCAGGGGTAAAGTCTACAGGATACATTGGAAGAACTCTGGGATGAGTAGAAAATATTCCACTGGAAAGAGAGGAGCACAAGAGTTTCAGGCTGAAACAACAGCACTTACACAGGCACATAGGTGAAGATGAACAAGTTCACTCCAGGGACCAAAGCAAGGTCAGTTTGGGTGGGGGGACAGAACGTGAAGACAGGATGGGTATTTTTCATCTGTTATGAAATCATAACTTTGTTAGGAGAGAAATGGACATATATTTAAGAGTTTTAGAAGCAGAAGGACAAGCTGAAATGTATATATTGAAATATCACTTTGGAATTGTATGGGGGCCATAGCGGGAAAGCCTGGAGGCAGATAGGTAGGGAAGGGATGGTATCGTGGTTGGGGTTTATAGTTAGGTTGACATGGAGGTATGAGAAAATTTAGGAATTAAACTAAAAAAATATTAGTAATCAGATTTGGTGATGAATTGAAGCAGAAAGATGAGGGGTTTACTATGAAGTGAGAACAAGGGATGAGAAAGATACCAGTTTCACACATGACAAATGGGTACCACTTATTGGGTTAGGTATGACAGAAAAGAGAAGTTCAGCTCTGTCTGCAGTTAATATCAAAGTGGAGTTTCATATGTTTCTATGAATCTCAGGAGAAACACTTGGGCTAGAATAGTTTCAAGTATCATCATGGTAATGAATCATGCCATATGGGCTCAGAATATATACTTGCGGTGAGGAGAGAAGAGGTTTGGAGGAAAACCAAAAGAAATACAATGGGTTATACAATGGTAAAGAAGCCTGTAAAGATTTAGAAAAATGGTGACAATGTAAGAGGAAGAAAGGAAGAATGTGGTATCACAGAAACTGAGGCAAATTGTGTTTTGCAATGTAAAACATAGTCAATGATGTTAAATCTACTGAGAGGGGAATAAAAGAATACCTAGCATAGCTTCTAAGTAGCTATAAACTACAATACTGCAATATTCATGCATATGAATAAATAAAAAAATCAATGTAACAGAAAAAAAAATCTTAAAGTGAATTAATACCAGTTCTAAAACTTAGGGAATGATAAAAGCCCTATTTAAGGTGAGTAGAGAAGAAAGGAATTACTTGGTAAATGATGGTTAGACAAGGCTAGTCATTTGCAAAATGAAACACTGAAACAATTTAGACTTACATTCATTCCAAAATCCATGATATAAATATAAATTTCACTTAGATAAAGATTTAAATATAAAGAACCAAATCTATGAAATAGTCAGAAAATATCTGGTGGCAGATTGGGGGAAGCCATCCGTGAATTACATGAGAGTCTTCTCTCAGTATGGTAGCCAGGGAGATTTAGGTTTGGCATTGTGAACTATCCTTGGCTCTCCCACCAGAATAGATTGCCCAATGCACATGAGCTTTATCTCCACTGTGTTAGGAAGAGACCTCATAGTAGCTCTGGTGATGGGTGTAACCCATTGGGAACTGGACAGCCCATTTTTAACATTTTTTGGAGAGAAGAACACTCTATGGAAGGCCTTTGATGTTTCCTGATTTAAATAAAGCAGGTGCAGGCTCCAATTTGCCAGAGTCTAGAAGTTCAATCCATCTGATTGGCTTGCCCGTCCTGCCCCCACTTTTGAAATTATTTTTGGTGTTTTGTGGGTTTTTTACAATTCTATCTTTCTTGTTTTTTTTTTTTCTCATCCAGCCCATTCCACTGAAGGGAACCCCATTTCCACTGCCCACACACGAGGGATGTGGGCAAGAGTAGATACAAATGATCTCCAATTAGGGAAGACCCTCATCTTTTAAAATGTCAGATACACAAGCAAAGCCTACAAAGAAAATTGACAAAGTAATTTACATCATAAAGTCTTCTGAAATTACAAAAACATCCTAAACAAAGTTAATAGACAAGGGGAAGATTGTAAGATATTTCAACTTGGATAAAATAATTGATATATTATTATATATTAATGTATCTATCTTCATTGGGTTTATTTATTTATTTTAGTGAAGAAAAACTCTAATTTTAACCTAAAAACAGAAGAATTCTGTCAGATATGCATTATCATTAGACTGCATTTGTTACAGAATCCATTGGGTTTATAAGACTCAGAGATATAACAAACATGGATGTTAGAGCAAAGGGAGCTAAGTGCCTTTTTCTTGAACAGGTGGTTGTCTGGTAATCTACACCAAAGTTTTTATAGGAGGTGAAAAAAGAAAAAAGGTTGAGTCGTGACTTCTATAACTATTTTCAAAATGGAATTTTCTAGAGACATGCTGTGTTATGAGCTTGAATTTTGATTCACATCACAAGAAAATTCATATATTGAGTCCTAAACCTTCTGCCCTTTAGAATGTGACTGTATGTATTTAAAGACAGTGCTTGTAAAGAGGTAATTAAGGTAAAAATGAGGTCCTCTAGGCCCTAATTCAATACAATTTGTATCCTTACAAGAAGAGGAGATTCAGACACAGTCACACATAGAGGAAACACTACTTGAAAATCCAGGGAGAACACAGCCATTTGCAAGCTTAGGAAAAGAGCCTCAGAAGAAACCAGCCCTGTCACACGTGGCCTTGAATTTCTAACCTCCAGAATAACTTTCTGTATGTAAGCCTCTCAGTTCAGGGTATTTTGTTGTGACAGCCCTAGCACACTAATTCACACCAGAATATAAATCCTAAGGCAAAGACTTTAGGGGAAATCATTTCTTCAGAGAACAACAAGTAAAGGGTCTTGTGTATTGGACAGCTGGCATGTTTCTTGTCATTATAACAATGAGTATTTTCCCATGGTTTACATTTTACTTTTTATTTCCAGTTCAATTTTTATTTTGTCTAAAATTTTATTTTCTGCAGTGTAAAAATTATAATTTAAAAGTATAGATTTATTAAGAGTCAGTTAGTGGTTAATTATATGCTTTACAAGGTTAGATCAGGATTCCTCTAAAGAGAAATTGGCCTCAGTGCTTTTAAAATAGACATTCTATTTATACAGGATTTCTTTTTTTGCATTTTCTAAATGCTTGAGTTTTTAGCTCTTATAAAATTGATCAACATTAAGAAGAGTATCAGTGCAGAAGTTCAAATCCTTATTAAAAATTAGAGTTGATTATTAACTACACAGGATTCCCTAAAATAGTAAGATTTAAAACCTGAATTCATCTTACAGAGTTCAGCTCACATGTTGTTTTTTATAAGTCTTCTAGTAAGTAGCAAAATACTTCACCAATATTTTCCGAAGGAATATACATAATTTTATTAAGAATTCAGTAAATAGACCACCATTAGGAAGGAACCTTTATGAGACCAGTTGATCAAATCTAAATAGCTGTGTAATGTGTTCTCAGTATTTAGCATAGTACCCAGCATTTAGTAGCCATCAGTATGTAGTTGTTTAATACTGAATTAATGAGCCAATGGGATTGGTGCAATTCAAAGAGAAAAGGAAGCCCCACATCAACATATTCAGTAACCCAGCAGTTTAACTGTGCTGTGAGTCCAGATTATGTGAATCCAAATGAAAGAAATTACACACTTTATGAACAATCAATAAAGTTTTACTTTGCAGGAGGACAAAGATTTGATGGGCATGGACAGTAGAACAGATATTCTCCCAGCATTAAAGAAGAGATATAAGAGATTATGTTTCAGGAAGGTTTGCTAGCAGCAGGAAACTCCTCTTTTGTATTTCTTTTAGGGATTTTGGAAGAAGAACAAAAATACATGCAGAACTGGTATAGGATGGGTGTTAAAAGTAAAATGAGAAATGGATTGGTCTAAGCAAACCGAATGCTCATATACTAATATTCCCTGAGTGACTGGAAGTAGCAGATCTAGTTTGTTCACAAAAGCTCTCTCATCTCAAAGTCATAAAATGGTTTTAACTAATCATTTAAGAAACAGGCCAATGGATCTGGATATGTAGCTAAGTGTAGCACACTTGCCTAGAATGCACAGGCCCTGGGTTCAATTGCCAGCACTGGAAAATGAATAAATAAAGTTGGTAATTCCATTAAAAACAGAAACAAAGAAGTCTCTGCCTCTTGTAGCTTCATGACTAGGGTGAGGGCCAATTTTTAATTCAATCAGGACCACTTAGGATGGCTGAAACTTTACCACCATACTATGAAATCCCTCTGCCAAAGAACTCCAAGGTCTTTTTACCTCTACATCACAGTGTGACAACCTTGAACCTTGTTGGAGAGAGGGATAAGTGGAAGGGCCTGGCTGGAGTATGGATCTTCCATGTTGGCTGCAACTGACATGTTTTATAAAATAAAAAAAAAAAAGTTTCAGTCAAATTGTGTTGAATGAATCAGACATAAATCTCATTTTGTAACTTGAAAACCATTTGAATTGTGTATATATAAAGCATTTTAAATACCTAGTATGGAACTGTCATATTATTCATTGAGGCAGACATTTGTCACCAGAATATGTTCTTGATTCTCAGATTAAAGAATAATTAGGAGCCATTTTCAGCAAAAGATTGAAAACATGGATACATTTTTCTCTAGACTTGTCAGGTTTTAAAACCTCCATTAACTCCTATGCCTGTTTGTTGTCATGAAACAAGCCAACCCCACATTTCCCATGCTGCATAATCTCTAATCAATACTGACATTGGCACCATCTCCATACTCTCTGGTGATTAAAGAAATACTCATATTGCGTACTTGGACTGACCAACAACTAAGAAGCAGGGGCCAGTCAGTAACTATCTATTTCTGAAGAAGCTATAAATTGATCCAAAATATATCATTCCCTAAGTCCAATTTGAATAACATGAAGCTTTTCATTATTTATTTTTTTTATCATTTTTTTTAAACAAGCAGGTTTATTCCCCAAGGCTATGCCAGGACCCTCTCACCCAATTCCACTGACAGTTGAGAAAGAAATTCTTTTCAGCTGGCTTCTCTGGAACTCACCCTGGAGTTCAGGCAAAAGAGCAGCACTGGGCATTTCCATTATCCCAAGGGGAGTGACACCTCTGACTTGCAGAAATTACCACGAACCTCCCCATCCTCGTCATGACCTACATCAGCTTCCTGAATGGGTTCTCGTCTCCAAGTTGTTGCTCGCTCTTTCTTCCTCTGAACACACTCTTCTTTTCATGGTGGCAGCTCTTTCAGCCCTGATTAAATGAACATGCTGCCAAACTCATGCTTCTTTCCGTTCTTTCCCTTTCTCCCCAGCTTTGCCTTATTTCTGGTCACCAGCCTGAAAGGTTGTTACCATCATATTACTGAAATTCTGGATTTCCTTGCTTTCTTGTTTATCACCCAATTATTAAAAAGAAAAAAAAATAAAGTCTTGGGAAAATCCTTCTATTTGACAAGCTTTGTTTCTTACTAAAGTAGGGGATAAAAGGTAAATTGTGACAGGAACATTTTTCACATATTTTCTTAAGTAATATTACAGCTTTCAGAAAAGCCAGAATACCAAAAACTCCTACATGGAAATAGATGATCCCATAGCCATTATCATTTCCTATTCTTTCTTATACCAATCATGGTCCCCTCTACATGACAGGTGCTCAATTAATTATTCAATACTTTTCTCAAACACTGTTCCTCTGCTAATCCTTAAGGCATCGTCAGATCAGATAGATAGCCTTTTGTATCTGCAGACAGTATGTAACTTCAGCATGTACTGCACTCGTCTCCATGGATACCAAATTTCTGTGAATGGCGCTTAGAGTGAAAAAATCTGGGGGGTGGGTATAAAGATGAATTTTGCTTTCTTTTGGCTCAGGTCCTTCTTTTCTTGACCCTTGTTTCTCTTACATTTCCTACCCCAGGCTATGTATTGCAAGAACACTTGCACATTTGGTGCAGTCGAAAACCCTTGCATTAGGACCTCAGGACATTACGCTTGTATCTTGGTAACTGCTCTGTGAACATCAAACCATGAAAATTGAAGCTGCCACAGGAAATGGGAAGGTAAAAACCTAAACAATTTTTTTGGCAAATTCTGACTAGGTATCCTACCTGGAGAAGCTAAGAAACCTGAGGTTCAATGAGAATAGTCATGGAGGGTGGATTCCTAGATCAGTTTTGCCTTTTTAGAAAGTTTAATCCAAATAGAAATGGTCAGGGCTAGGCTTGTGGCTCAGAGGTAGAGCACTCTCCTAGCATGCAAGAGGCACTGGGTTCGATCCTCAGCACCACATAAAATAAAATAAAGATGTGTCCACCTATAACTAAAAAAATAAATATTAAAATCTTAAAAAAATTTAGATACCAAATAGTAATGGTTAACAGAGCCACAGCATTGTCAAACTTTCTCATTTTTAGTTTGAGCAAGATTAACTTAGTAAATCCCTGTTGACCACATTGTGTTGTTTAAAGCTCTGGTGGATTGTTACTTTTGTCATTAGGAAAAACAAAAATCATATTTATCACTGTAGTAGAAGGGACTATATTTACATGATGTAAAAAGAAGCCTGAGTAGGAAGTATAACGATTTTAATGCAGTCTGCTTTGCAGGAAAAAATCTCAAAATCACCTCCATTAATGAAAAGAATTCTTGACAATTTTTAAAACAGTGAGAATCACCATCCTGCTTAATGTTTCATTTCTTTGTTGGTTGTGTGTGCTATTTTAGCACCTAAAAGCAACACACGCACTAAAGTCGATTTCTGATACATTTTCAATCTTGGTTAATTGTTTATTCTCAATGTAGGAAGGGAAAAAAAGATACCGAACCACTGAGTAAGGAATCCGATTGGAAGACAGTATCCTAAGAGGCCACGGGGAGCTGCTGGTGGTTTCAGCCTTCAATGTGAGTGAAGGCCATCCCCCAGTCCTCTAGTCCCAGAGTGAAGGCAGCTGAAAAATCTTGGCAGGACTCAAATGACTGTCCAGCAGCCTGTTGGGGATTCAGTGCACTTTAGGGATCATTCTATATTGTGGTAGGGCCAGGGACAGAGTCCAGTACAGAGATCATCTCCTCTGTTATGCTTTCTTCTTTTCTTTCACTAAAATACATGCTAAATCTGGGGCCTAAGGATTTTTTCTCCATTAAAAAGAAACCATGCCCATATTATAAAATCGTGTTAGTAAAAGTGACAGATAACCACAGGTAAGAATGGCTAAAAATTTCTCTCTGCAGACAGCTGTCAGAATTCAAGCTTCCTCCCACATTGTCCAGGTAGCAAAAAGGTATTTTGGAGAATATTCCTGCTTCTGTCACCCTCTCAGACATTCTGAAGCAAATCTAATGAGCTTTTCTTCCAAGTTAGGCACAAATAGAAGTCCAGGTGTTTCTTGTGCAGTGGAAGGTCAGTATCAGAGAGGCCCTTATAAGCGATAAAGGCTTTGTTTGTGATCCAAAATTTAAAGCAGGAAAAGACTTTCTTAAAAGGTAGCAACAGTGTATCGAAGAAAAAAAATGAAAGAATCAGTCTCTTCGAGCATATTCTGACTTCAATATTAACACACCCAGTAGGTATAAGGGAACATGATGTTACCACAATGATGGGAACACTCATTGAAAAGGAAGAGTTTACGAATTGGATAATATCTACTAATTATATCCTGGAAAATGCCTGTCAACTCAGACAAGAACAATTCAAAGAAACACTCAGAAAAATAGACTGAGACAAACAGCAAAATATTATTCACTTCCATGAAAACTTTAGAGTATATTCTTCGAACCAAAGGATAACTTAATGTTGCTTAATTCCTTCAAAAAGAAGGTGATTGCATCATCTTCTCTGGTACCCTACACCTGACATAATTTGCTCTATTATTTTTTTTAGCTCAAATCTTTGTTTCTATACGAATCAGTTCTCAATAATATAAGGATGATAGATTACTCTCTTTGTTTTCACCTTTTCTCCTCCAACTCATTGGTCTACCTGCCTAATCTCTCCACAACTACAAAGAGATTAAATAAATTTGGCTCCAAGGAATATCATGTCTTCTACTTCTTTGTTGACCCCATTGTTTCACATAATGTTGACCCTATTGTTTCAAATCATGTTGGCCCCTTCTACCTCTCCTCTCCCCATGGTTCCTGGTGCCAGGAGCTGAGCAGCTTTCCCCTACCATGCCCTTCTGCCATGGCGTTTCTTCCTTGAATCCAGATGACTGTGGACTACAACCCGTGAGACTGTGAGCCAAAATAAGTCTATCCCTTAAATGGTTCATGTCATATATTTTAGTTATGTTGACAAAAACTGACAATGCACACATATATTTTATTTTGCATTCCAGAACTGTAAGTGAATAAATTTCTGTTCTTTATAAATAAACTAGCCTCCAGCATTTTGTTATAGCAGCCCAAACAGATTAAGACTATACAACATCACACACACACTTATAGGGAAAGAACATTTTGCCTCCATGTTTATTATGATTCTTTTGTTGACACCTGTAAAGGCAGAAGGAAGATAATGGCCTTTGCTGCACACTTAGAAAGAGAATTGTCCCTTGCTGGTGTTCTCACATGTGATCATAGTCAATCCTCATAATAACTCTATGCAATAATCACATCGTCAACTCTTTTATAGATAAACAGATGGCAGGTACAGAGATTATTAACCTGTCTGAAGCTCATATGAGTTAGATCTAGGATTTGAGCTCAAGTGCTACTTATACCACACAGCATAACTTTTTCTCTGCTTTCTAAACAATGAAGCAAACTATAAAGGTTAAATCAATAAGAAGTCATCTCTAAGACTATTTAAAACTGTTGGCACTTTAAGTGACTCTTCCTGATTTATTATTTATTGAGCACTCACTGTGTCTAAGTTGTGCTTGGAACACAGTCAAGAAAGATAAATTTCTACCACCTTTTCCTATGGGAAGCTTCAACCTGATGTCAGTGGTCTGGATAATGCAGATCAAGGCTGTGGTTTGAACATGTCCCCTTCAAAATTCAGGTGTTGCCAAGGTAATGGTATTAGGGAGAGAAGTCTTTCAAAGATTGCGATGCTATGGCAGCTTCTTCTTCAAGAATGAGATTAAGGACCTTTTAAAAGTGGCTTCACTCAGTACTGGGAAGCTTGCCTTTCTGCCTTCTGCCATGTGAGGAAACAGCTTTTGTTCCTTCTGGAGGAAAAGACAAGTTGCCGTCTTGGAAGCAGAGATACCCTCATCAGACACCAAACCTACTGGTGTCTTGATCTTGTATTTCCCAGCTTCCGGAACTGTAAGCAAATAAATTTCTATTCTTTATAAATAAACTAGCCTCCAGCATTTTGTTATAGCAGCCCAAACAGATTAAGACTATACAACATCTGAGTATCAGAGGAACTGTAAAGATAATTAAAGAACTTCAAACATCTTTTGAAGTAGTCAAAATTATCTATCCTGAAACTAATGCTAATTTTCTCATATCAATTGAAGATAGCTTTAGTGCTAAAATAGTCTTTATAAACATAACAATAATTGTTAAGCTAATTTTGTAACCAGATAATTTTTAAAGCTAAAAACTTCAGGACAATTAACTTTTTGGAATTTTTTAAATTTGCAGGACATTTGAAAGTCCCTCCTAATCCTCAGAGGTACTTGGATGCTGATCTTTACCAGCTTTCTTCTTACTTACTCACTCCAATTAGAGACAATAAGGATTAATGAATTTTGAGGAATAGTGTTCTGTTAGCCCTTTGTTCTAGTTCTATCATAAACTAGCCAGGAAAACATGAAAAAATATCACAGAATCAGGATAATTTCTTAGGTCACAATCTCTAAGACACTTTGACAATATAGGAAAGGAGTATGCTGTCAGGGATTTTAGCCTTCCAAAATGTATCTGTGCCTTTGAGATATAAAATACTCAGCCAAATAAGCAGTACTTATGAACAGATTTTAACCCTGAGTTGTTGCTTTTTTCCTCTTGTTTGTGCTGAATCTCTCCAAAGTTCCCTTTCATCTACCTGGAGGGAAACAGACCTGCTAACCAGGCAATGGTTGCTGAGCATCGGGCTTCTTAGACCTGAAGTCCTATGAATCTGAATAATACAGAGTGATGCCGTGGTTTAAATGTGTCCCCTCTAAAGTGCTGGGGTTGCCAGTGTGGTGACATTAAGAAGACACTCACAGACTCTCCAGTTCTGGGGGGAAATACATACTTCTAGGCATAGGTCAACTTAGAGAAGGGAGGAGCTAGATAGGGTGGGTCCATTCCCTCACAGGAAGCTTAGCAGTTTTGGGAGGTGGGGATGGTACTTCTCAGATGCTCACCCCAAAGTAAATACCTCACAATTGTGGTCCATCTGGGCCTCTAGGTCTTAGACTGTTTGGCCCTGGGTAAGAAGAGAAGCTATGGCTTCCCAGAAGAAACAGCTTATCTCAGCTAATGTACACCTGGGTGGGATCCCAGTCTGGTCCGGAGAACAGGAGTGAAGGAATACTAGCTCTAGACCCTTAGTGGGCCACCAGCTCAGAAGGCTATGTGCCAAGCTACTAATTGTCAGGGTACAGCCAGCCCTTCCTAAAAGTGTGCACACAAGGAGGACATTGTTCTAAGTCAGACCCAGCTTTATAGGAGAAAATTTTACAGCAAAATCATGACTATGGCCAGACTCTTGGGAAAAATGTTGTATTGCTCCGTTTGTGTTTTGTCCTGGGTTTAGGGAATCTTCTATCCTTTTCAGTCATGTCAAGAAGAAATCCCAGTGTGATCGAAAATGCATAATTTCCTGGCTGTGAGTGAGTTGGCATCTTGTCTCTCTCCAAATTCAGTAATCTGTAGAAGAAAATTTTTTTATATAAAAAAATTTATTAAGGGAGGGGATTTTAATTTTTTGGAATTTTTAATTCTCCCAAACTTAGGACTTTTTTTAAAAAAGAAGCATGCATTATTCTGCAATAGTAATAAAAATAAAGTCTAGAAGGAATAAGTTAACTTTGCTATGTCACATAAAGCCATTATTATAAATGAGTTTAAAGATATTAAATATAATGCATGTGGTTTATGGAGTGCTGAGGGCAGTGGTACAATTTAATTGAGGATTTCCTGTGCTGTCTGCTGTTGAGAATAAGGGATTGTATTGTGGCCTCCTGTCCCCACTTTTCCCTTACCCCAAAGCCTAATATATCAATCAAATAAAATTAATGTAATTAGGAAGCAGACTCAAGACAGAGGGGCTCTTCCTCTAATTTTTTCCTAATGTGCGACCATAAAACAAACAAATTTGTCTACTCGTTCAAATTAAATGAATATGATCATTGTAGCCTTAAGGAACTCAGATAATTTGAGATTCAGATTGTTCAGAATGCAAGTGGAATCTCTGAGAATGAGCACAAATTTGCTTAAAAAAATGATCAATGTTTTCTCCTAAGCTTGGTTAACTGGGTGACTCCCAAGTATGCGACTCATTTCTCCAGTGAAATGAATCCCATTTCTGGTCCCATTTCTCAACACAGCTCTCCTGCTTCTTACCTCAGCAGGTAGAGTTTGCATTACTTGGCCACTGGCAAAGTTGGAAGAGAATATGCCTTTAATGTCAGCCTGGGAGAGGGTGGAACTCTACTGGAGCTGTGTGAAGCCTTCTTAAGTCTACAGTGAACTCCAAGTGGCCAGTTCTCATCCAGCTGGGCAGAGAGCAATCTCAAGAGAGTGGCAGGAAGTGCAAGAGGTTGAGCTGTGAATGGTGGTGGAGGAAATGGATACCTTTAGGGGGGATTCCTAAAGACTCTGGGCTCTAGAGGAGAGCATCAAGGGAGCAATATCTTCAGAGAATGTCAAGTTGTAAGTTCCTTTAGACCAGGGATGAGCTTACTGTATTGACAATCTGAGGGGAATAGCTAGGGAAAATGGTGACCTATAGTTTCATCTCCCTTCCAAAATTCCATTGACTTAGATTGGGCTTTTAGATTCCAAGATATTTGATCTGTTACTTACGTAAGTTTGTTTTAAGAACAGGAAATCCTGTTTAAGTGACAGAATGAGTCCAACAAGTGGGAGCTCTGTGAGTCGGTCCCAGGAAGGCAGAAGCTGGGGACGAAAAGAGAAGCTGAGCCCAGCAGTCACGTTGTGGCACAAATCCCTCACAACGTAGCTGTGGCTTTGAATCTCATTTGAAAACATCTTAAAATAATAATGTACCTTGTTGTTTTCTCTTCTCACAGTTCTCTTCATAGAATGTACTTTCAAAAATGCTAGATTTTTTTTCTTGCAACACGACTCAGATCCTGTCCTTTTCTGAAATAAATAAAGCAACAACATAAAACTTACTTCCAGAATCTGTAGTTCTCTGTTTTTTTAATTGATGCTCTAAATAGATGGCCCTTATGAAACGCTTTCGGTGTGGAAGAATTGGTGGCGAATATCTTTCTGACTATATGCTCATAAGTACCAATTTTAAGAGAATTTGGAAGGCATGCTAACCAGTTACTGAGAGGTTCACCACCTATGAGGCCAGCTGGTTCACTTAGATTAACGAGATGTAGCCTGGATGACCTTAAGAGAGATTGCAGTCAGTAGGAACTGAAACCTTGCCTTGTGCCTCGCTCCACTCGGAGATAAGTGCTTTACCTGTGTTCATTCCATTTTGTGAAGCATCACTGTGCCCATTTTGTGATGCAGGAATCAGAGGCACCGAGAGCTAAGAAACTCACACAAATCATACAACTTGCTCATCATTGTCAGAGTAGAACCCAAACCTGGTCACAAATCTTTTGTACTGTCATCTTTTAGGTTGTACTCTTGTCTTCTACAGGAGGGGAAGGAAACATAGAGTAGCCAAGGTGATGCTGTCTAACACCAGAAAAGATGGACTTTTTTCTAGAAGGTCCCTTTAGAATCAGATTT